AAAACAAATGGTCCGTAGATACACGGACTCATATAGCCTATGTATGTATACTGTAAGGAGAATGTATGTGCGTGAGAGGACCAGTAGGAATTACGGCATATAAATATGCAAACACAAACCTACAGACTGGGGGATGGGAGATCACAGGAGTGGGAGGGGGGAGAGCTGTGGAATGTGACCCTTGGGAGAATTCCTCCACACATTCCGATGGCCAATTCGTTTTAAACAAAGAGTTCGCAACACAGGACAGCATGGGCAACATGGGGGGTGGGGGCTGGTGAACGGTCTGGTCAATGTTTGTAAACACAATCCCCAGGATGTGTCCTAATCAGGAGCCGGGTAAATGAGAGACTGAGGAGCCCCAGAAAAACAGATCCCGAAATAGCTCGTCCTGGTTTCCGCAGCAGATAGGCCTACAGTATGGTGTCTGTGTTATGTCAGTCATTTTAAATAAAATGTTGAAAACTGAACTTGAAAATGGTTTCCTCTTTTTATTTTATTTATCATTTTTGGGACGGGGAGACGTGTGTGATTAAAAATTAATTTGCAGAAATGTAAAGTGATCTAACTAAGTTCTATTCATATTCTTGACGGGAAGAGCAGTGTAAATGGGGGGCCATATGCATTTGAAAAGCAATATAAATCACACAGTTATTATACAATAGGCTATAAAAGCACCATCGATAACCATTACCTTTCTCCAATTCAAACTTTGGACGGGAAAAAAGGAAGGTGTACATGGTTGGGCTATACTGTAGGCCCAGGAGCGCCGGGTGCTGTAGGCTAGGGAAGGCTAAGCCTTCCCAAATATTTGTGTAACTGCATCCTGGTAAAATACAAATATAATGTCTTTGACATTAGCGCTGCTATGCAGCCACCTGTGCCCTGTACCACGAAGCCAGTTCAACAGACCCTGGATATGCTTGAGTTATCTTAACTAACCCTAACAAACGCGATCTCGCTAAACGGTCCTACGGCGCTGGTTATCAACTCGGTAAATCAAGCCAGGGTTTCTCTCTCCAGCTGAGAACGCGTTCACGTGAAAGGGGCGGGGTTAGCTACATTTGACCAATCACAAACAGGGACAAGTGTACTGACAGCGCAACATCATACTTCATTAATGAAAAGTAAACTAATATTAGACAAATATGAACTTTAAACATCCATGATGACTTAAACATATAATCCAGGATACAAGCCACATAGTTGCACCTGCAAGGAGAATACAGAACAACTCGTTAAAAAATAAACTACCGAGTGTTTGAAAGCGTACAACAGTTTTATGATACTGCCCCATCTAAAACACGAGGGGATCTGACTTTATTACATTTGAGTTGAGTGTTTCGTCAACTTAATGTGTTGCTTAAAATAATACGTCTGCATACAGTATATGTGACAATGTAACTAAGTGTTGCACGGCCAGATACGGCTCGAGAAGCTGACTCAGATAAGGAGATATTGTGATATCGATGTGAGATCTATGATCTGATTGATGATGTGATGTCAGTGTGATATGAATGATAAGTGCGACACGTCGGCGTCTTCTCTGCATACGGCAGTTTAAACTGCATTTCCTTTTTCCTGTAATATGACTTGATAGATTTAAACTCCGCACACTGAGCTCTGATCGGTCAGCAGATGGTGCTTTCACTGAGTTGATCTCTTTTCAAGGCGGGCAGCGTAAGATGAAAAACAAAGTTATTTAGCCTTCCCAAACCTGAGCCTCACGCGCCGCCTATGTGTAGGCCTACTGTATACATACAAAGGCCATTCAAGCTAGAGTTCTTCTGGAAATGTTCACATCAGGCACCTTCAAGTTAAACAATACTAAACAATTAACACAGTAGGCCTAAGTTATGTGGATTAAACCACATTTATTTCGTTAAAAAGAAACGAAATATGATTTTGTATGAATGATTAAATGTAGGGTGAATTGCCCTAATGTGGGACATTTTTGCATTTCAGACTTCGGGAATATATTGCGATATGAAGCCGATACAATAAATCAAAATCCAGTACCATTCCGAAATCCCCAGTAATATTAGACACTAATAATACAGTCAACTATTAACACTGTACATATTATTGTTTGCCCGTGGGATTAGGATGATCGGTAGTGAGACCCGTGCTGCCTTTTCCTCCGGTCGGATGTGATATAAAAACAAAGCGATTATTTTTGTTGTTGTAAACTCACGTGGATTAAATTTAGTGCATTCATTTCAACTCGCGAACATATGATACATTAAATGATCGTGAGGATGATGATTGAAAATCGTTTGTTTGAGCCTGGATGCATTTCCTGATCTAAAAACATAGCGATGGTTTTGTACTTACGCCAACGTGAATTAAACATTATTTTGTTAAATAAAAACATGGAGATGTTTAGTAAGTGATTACATGTCTCTTATTTAGCACAGAATATGATCCTATCCGTTACATATGGATCTTAACAAATATCCGTGATATCAGATAACTGTAGATCAGCTGTTTATTTCACATGGGTTCCAGTGTGGCAGCTTTTTAATCACGGCTCCCCCTGGTGGATCCATGATCCATTGCAGCTGGTTTCATTATAATTAAATGTATTTATCAAGGGGGCGTTTCAAATCCTGCGGGGGGGGTTTTCCTTTTCAGCAGGGGCCCACCCAGTGCCGATCACGGACCCGCACGGGTAGGCGTCTGAAATGGAGCGCTACATCTGTATGGTAATTATGCCTATACTGGTGGTGGTAACACGTCAGCATGTATACGTGTCTACGGTTCTCGTACTGTCAGGCTATGACTACGGATCTGCGTACGCTAATCCTGCAAGTGCAGGTTGCGGACGTGGGTCCGCGTTATGTTTAACCCTGCGGGTGCAGGTTGCGGACATGGGTCCGTGTTATGTTTAACCCTGCGGGTGCAGGTTGCGGACATGGGTCTGCGGTAGGTTTAACCCTGCGAATGCAGGTTGCGGATATGGGTCCGCGGTAGGTTTAACCCTGCGGGCGCAGGTTGCGGACATGGGTCTGTGTTATGTTTAACCCTGCGGGCGCAGGTTGCGGACACGGGTCCGCGTTAGGTTTAACCCTGCGGGTGCAGGTTGCGGACACAGGTCCGCGTTAGGTTTAACCCTGCGGGTGCAGGTTGCGGACACAGGTCCGCGTTAGGTTTAACCCTGCGGGTGCAGGTTGCGGCCACAGGTCCGTGTAAGGTTTAACCCTGCGGGTGCAGGTTGCGGACACAGGTCCGCGTTAGGTTTAACCCTGCTGGTGCAGGTTGCGGACACGAGTCCATGTTATGTTTAACCCTGTGAGTGCAGGTTGCGGACACAGGTCCGCGTTAGGTTTAACCCTGCGGGTGCAGATTGCGGACATGGGTCCGTGTTATGTTTAACCCTGCGTGCAGGTTGCGGCCAGTGGGTCCGCGTATGTCTAACCCCATAGCCCGGAAGCGATTCCGGCGCTTATCACGTCCCCATGTTAATCTCTCATTTCATCCATAGATCTCCGCAGCCCGCCGCAAGGTAAGAATTGCTCACAGCTCCGTACTTCATACTTCACTTATTTTGGGGGTTCATCGGAAACGGTTCTTTCCCTTCCCGAATGATGTCCTACAAAACCTGGGCCTAATCGCCAAAGCACATTTTATACACCTGTTATAAACTGTCATCATTATGTTTCATTTATATAATGTGACCGATAATAAACATGTATTTCATAGATCACGTCTCTCCTGAGTGAAATAGTATTAAAGAACGGTCTTTCAATTAACTCATCAGAAGCCAACCTCCTGTCTATCCCCACACAAACTAAGCACCGAACCTGGGGGGACAGAGCCTTCTCCATCGCTGCCCCCTCCCTCTGGAACTCACTCCCATTAAACATCAGAGACTGCACCGACCCCCCCACCTTCAAAACACTCCTTTTCAGACTGGCTTTTAATGTGGGAATAATGTTGTGTTGCTGTTTTAATATTTTAATTAAGCTACGTAAATATGACGCTCTATGTATAAAAACTAGTGCTGTCAAAATTATCGCGTTAACGGCGGTAATTAATTTTTTTAATTAATTGCGTTAAAATATTTAACGCATTTAACGCATGTGCAGAATGGCCCGCCCCATACGTGCCACCAGTGGCAGCGTCAGAGTATGGCTGGGGTAGGCTACACCCATACTAAGAAATGGCTTAGCCCCACCATGAAAAATGATGTTAAAGTAAGCAAAATAAAGTCTGCCAACTCGTGCGGAGTAAATTGCACAGACAGCAGTTAGTAAGATTGATTTCAGTAGCCACGGTTTTGAAAACTTTTGTCACGTAGTGATCGTCTTCTCAATAGAACATCTTTGATAACGGCGTGGTGTTGTTGCAGGAAGTCCCGACGGAGAATACTTTTGCTGTAGTACAGGGGTGCACATAACTGGTACGCAGGTTATGTGCGTAATCTGAAATGCGTACCGTCACTTGTGTCACAAAGCGCATTTGCGTACCGACGTACTTGTGAAGCTTTTCAAGAAGGCGGTTAGATCACCGGACGACAGAGTCGGTCTCCGTGTGCACAGACAGGGCTGCTGTTAACGTCGGTCTGTACAACGGAATTGTGCCAAAACTACTCCAACCGGCTGCGGAGGGAGACTCCCCCCATTCACTGGAGAACTGCGCTAAAACAGCTGATCACAACGTTCACACTCTGTGGTCACGGAGTACTCCAGATTTGGTGGTTTGTGTTTGTCTGCATCATACTGTCAGTCATATGCAGTATATGGCAGTTTAATAAACGTGTTTATATATAATTTATAATTGCATCCTAGTTTTAGGAGTGATGTTTACTGCCATGGTGGCTGGGTTTCATCTAACGTACCATGCATATATGCTGGCCTGTTTAATTAAATTGTGGAAGTGAGATACAGTTAATATAGTGTCTAGCTTTTGAGGAAATCAGTTAATCCATAGCAACATTTCACCATATTACATTATATTCACTATTTATAACTTATATTCATCAGCCATGACAAGTTGCATATATATAAGGCAATACATTTATTTCTATGTTATAGGAAGAACCATCCCTTCCCAAACCACCTTCAAACGCTGCCAAGAAGAAGAAGACAATGAGCAGCATGACATCATCGGTATTGGAACAGCTGAAGGTAAATATATATATATATATATATATATATATATATATAAGCTCAACTAAGTGGAGTGTACTCTCAATACAATAGTAAGCATGCAACTCACTATTGTTTATGTTATGTACTATGTATTATAATTTTATGTCCGCGGTCCAATAAATAAAAAAACATATATACAATATCTATTTACAAGGGTAGAACTTCAAGATAATTTACAACTTGCCAGCAGGACTAGTGGTTTTTGAAATTCTGATACTCGTGCATATGGCTACATTGTTGTCAGCGTAGTGGTATTGCAGGGTGTAATGGTAACACATATAGAAGAAGTATAACTTTTGTGCCGTTTGACACCATTATATTTGGTTATATACACCATTAAACACCAACATTTCTGGTACCTTTATTTGTACTTTGCTTATGTATGTAGGTGTGTATGTATTTATGTAAGTATGTCTACCCAAAATTGTGTCATGCCATGGGCAAAAAGAAACATCACCTAGTTTTAAATAATTAATAAATATTTATTTGCAGGAAAAGTATTCACACAGCCACGACAACAGTGGACCGCCCGAAGCCGCATGTTCGCATCCCGACCAGGAATGCCGCAAATGCAAACTACTTCAACAACAAATAGACATCCTTGAGGAGGAGAAAGCTACATTGCTGGCGTCATTGAGAATGAACAAAAGTAAGTGTTCAATTTCACTTATTCAGCATTACAGATAATTGTTTTATTACATTGGGGGGAAGACAGTCTGGCGGGTCTGATCGCAGTAGCAGTCCAAAACATGGAGGATGGGTGATTTGCATTATTTCTGCTAATGCATGAAAACTGAATGCTGTTGTGTTCCAAAACCTTTATATATAAAATGTTTATGAATATGTTTTAAGTTTACATTAGAAAAAATATGTACTTCGAACCCATGTCTGAAATGTGCCAATGAATATTTTCAGTCGCTGGAGATGTTGTTGCCAAATTGGAGCTGCTATGTCACACGCCAGCTCCAAAGCTGCCAGATATGACAATGCCCATGAGGACACCTCCAAGTCCCTTCAATCGAGAGTCAAGTACACTGAGGTAAATTAATGAGTTTTACATTTTTTATGAATAATTATTACTGTCTTTTGGGCTTCTGTTATAATTGTAACGATTCTAGTACACACTGGATTTTGGTTGTGCATGTCTCTGGGCCATGCAGTGTTTAATTATTTACAACAAACCAGCTTTTTCTGTTTAACTCTTTCGGCGCGGCAGGCGACTAGTCGACGTTTGACCTTAATGCACTCGTGGCCTACATATATGAATGGAATATATATATATCAAATATATATATATATATATATGAACTAAATATATACATATATGAAATACATATTATTTGAAATACATATATGAAATATCCAGCGCTGAGCAATGCACAAAAAATATAAAATTAGCGCCAAAAGGGTTGAGCACATTTTTCTAACAAACACTGCATACTATTGGGATGTGAAGTTAATTAGTTATTACCTTGCGTGCCTTACAGAGATGGAGATGATGGAGATGCATCGGTTGCTGGTTCCCCATCAGCAAAAAAGGTAAGGAATTATCTTTTCAATTTGATGTTTCCGCTAAGTAGGAAGAGAATTCCAGATGTATTACTTCCAAACCCATCAGCTGGACTAGTGTCATGGTGCAGTGCCTGTGTCAATTTGTATATTCAATTTTAATTATATCAAAATTGAGCCTCCGTGGCGAAGTGGTTGGTACCGTCAGCAGCAGATCAATTCAAAAGAGTAGAGAATTGTTTAATCATTCATTTCATTATTCCAGATCTCTTAATTGGCCTGGAGATTGTGCAAAATGGTGGCCTAAAGATCCATTTCGCCATCACCATTATAATATACGTTGAAATTCCAATATCATCCACCTACTGTAACCTATAGCAGCATAAATTCCGATTGCAAACTCCAATATCATCAATTGTAATACCTGCTTCAGTCTGTGTGGATATTAGATGGTACATTATTATTATATATATATTTTTTTATTATTATTATTATTTGTTACTTGTCACAGTCAATTAATAAAATACAATATTATGCTGTTGGATTTCATTGCAGTTCCCAATAGCAAAGTGGCAGATTAGGCGATGTTCGACCACCTCGCTGCAGAAATTCATCAATGACCTCCTCCATGGCCTGTATTGCACAGAGTACATGGCCAAGCACTCACTTACTGGCTACAAGGCCAGTAAGGAGTCTGATGCTGGCAAGAGGAAGGACAGCATTCCACAAGAAGAGGTTGCTGAAATAATTGGTAAGATTTGTTGATATGTAGCAATAGTCCCAGCTAACACATTTACGTATTAACTACGTAGTTACAACGTAGTGGTTTAGTAGAATTTCTGGACTGCCAGATACGTTTTTTTACTACGTAGTGAAATTACCAAATGGGCACTTTCTCATGACCTTTCGGCTTCCCCTGCAAATGTTTGTTTCTACTTTGTGCTAAACTTTGCTTCACATATCCTCCATGTTCTATGACTATTAAAGAAACATGTCATATTTTATCAAGACATGTCGTAGTTCCCGCTGTAAAAGCGCAAAATCTGAACAAAGATCGTACCAAAGATTCCAACTGCCAAACTGCCATGCAACTGCTCTATACATTGTGTGCAGTGTGCACACTTGTTCAGTTTACTTTAGTAAAATGTATTCTAGTTTTCACACAATTTTCACATACACATACAAAAACTAATAATTTTGTTCTATGGAGAAAATTGCTTCTATGCATTAATTAAATAACGTTAAAATTAACTAATATGTACAAAAACAAATCTCAGATCACCAAATAAACATCTACGTGTCCTTGTTACGTATTCACAACGTAATATAACTACGTAGTTGGCCTAACGTTGCTGAAGTACGTGCATAAACATGTACTATGTAAATACTACGTATTTTCAAGACATTACCTAAACGGTACCTAACCACTACGTCATATATACGTAGTGTGTTAGGTGGGAGTATGATGCAACTTGGCAAATAAAGTAGATTTATATTGAAATCATGTGCAAGTTGAAATCTTCCAAGTACATGGTAGATATACATATTTTGTAGTGTAGTGGAAAACAATGTTGTGATGCTGGGAATTAAGTGAACTATTTGTAGAGTTTCTGTGTAGTAATATATAGTCATAAATCGACCATCTATTATAATATGAATACATGTACTGATTAAATTACTATTTATATTAACCATTGCATTAAAAAAAATTGATTGATTTATTACCTTCATGAATCAATATTCTTTGGTGAATGGCTTTAATGCAAATTTCAATATATTATTCTGTTATAGCGGCAGCAAAACAAATCTTCGCCACCAAGACGGACATGGAGGTACGGCTGGCCATCCGCCAGAAAATGAATGGGGCTGCCAAAGTGGTCTCGGCGAGGAAAGTGGCAACACCTCCAGACCAGGGTTTCCGCCAGGATTTTTTCTCGCCGGTCAAATGTCCGGGCAGAATTTATTTTACCGGACAAATTTGAAACTTACCGGTCATATTTCAATAATAATAGTAAGAGTTGTGTAGCAGAGTTTCCGTTAGCAGGTAATTACCGGACTATGAGCAGATATGCTTCAGTTTAAAACTCAGTTCACGGGGCTCATTTTTATATTGCTTCAGTCTATAATCGTAACAGATCGAAAAATTCAGATCCATTTTTCAATAAATGATTCCACAAACAACAAACAACATAATTATTACATTCAAACAAACTACTTGTAGTAGATAACGTACATTATTCAAAAGTTTACATTAACTTTGAATAATAACACGGGAGAAACGGATCATCTCTTTTCCCCTCTCCCTCCCTCTCTCTCTGACAGCCCGTCAGTTCCTCATGCAGCTCGCTAAACAGTGGGCGGGGCTTCAGGTGATTATGCAGCAGCTGATCTGATCTCTCTCGCGTGTCCGGTTATACTTCACTCGCGTTTATGTCCATATCGATCAGATCCAGCTCTCCTGATCGGCCTTTATAGAGAGCACCGATCAAACTATTAAGAGTGAATATCGGCCGATAATGACCGGTGGCCGATCTATCGGAGCCTTCCTAATTATTACCAAACATTTTGACCGGCAGGTTTTGAATTTACCGGTTTTTAATAAATGTTACCAGCTAAAAACCGGTAATTACCGGCTAACGGAAACCCTGCTCCAGACGCCAGCCAATAGAGTACAGATTCATCATTCATTTCATTATCCCAGAAGGTCTCTTGGCCCAAATTCGCATAACTTGCGAAAAAGTAGCTTACCGGCATAACAATATTATATTAAACCTTGTATATTGGGATATAATAAATAAATATAAATAATAAATGTATATAGCCCAATGTTCTATTACATTTATGCTCAGTTTGTATGCTCTAATCTTGGTACTTTTAACACACATGCTTATTTAAGGTACTTTATATTTGCTTGGATAGTAACATATTTTACTCACTGCCATGCTTCACAATTTTTATTATATTCTGATGTAAATGCTCCAGAATTTCTGTGACTGCATCTGTATGTATACGTTGATCACTTTTGTTATGTAACTAATTATCTGTTACAACTGGAGATTAAAGCTAAGTGACATAACAATAGCTATTGTTAGTGTGAGTCTGTTACAAACAACTCATTGGAGTCTGCAGTACTCTACTCTGTTTTTCAGTCTATTATATGGCATGTAACACATAATTACTGTGGGGCATTCTCTAAAACATGTATCAAATATATAGCTGTATGTGACTCAATATCAGGCATTGCTATATAATTCAATATTCTATATAATGTCACAACACATGTGGTGTTAGCTATAGAAGATTCTGTATTGTCCATTCATATTGTAGAGCTTATTCTATAGAGTACAGAGCAGTTATATAGAAAACATCCATGGATTTTCTATAGATTATTTATGGAATCTATAGGAAAATCTATAGGTTAATTCTATAGAATTTCTACACCAATCCTGTACTGTTCTGCAGAACAATTTTATAGACAACAATAGCAATTTTCTATATGATTCTATAGATTATTTGGTGGAATCTATAGTAGAATCCATAGGTGAATTCTATAGAATATTTGCCACTATCCTGCAGTATATTCTACAGAAATTCTATAGAAACATCAATAGATTGTTCTATAGATTATTTTGCAGAATCTATAGTAAAATCCATAGGTAAATTCTATAGAATATCTGCAAAAATGCTATAGTATTCCTCAAAGAAGTTCTATAGAAATATCCACAGATTCTATAGAATATAGGTCACTAATTCTATAGTTTTCTACAGAATGGTATTCTACAGAACACTTCTATAGAAAGCATCCATGGGTTTTTCTATAGGATTCTATAGATTATTTTCTACAAAAAAACCATCTACACAGTATATATTTTCTATAGTACTATATTCTATAGATTATTTCCCAGAATCTATAGTAACATTTCTATAGTATATCCGCAAAAATCCTGTAGTATTCTACAGAACATTTCTATAGAATTCGTCCATAGATCTTTCTATAGTATTCTATAGATTATTTCCCAGAATCTATAGTTACATTTCTATACTATGTCCGCAAAAATCCTGTAGTATTCTACAGAACATTTCTATAGAATTTGTCCATAGATCTTTCTATAGTATTCTATAGATTATTTCCCAGAATCTATAGTTACATTTCTATACTATGTCCGCAAAAATCCTGTAGTATTCTACAGAACATTTCTATAGAATTCGTCCATAGATCTTTCTATAGTATTCTATAGATTTTTTTGCTAAGGGAGCCGCCGCCACCCCCCCCCCTCCGTCGACTTTCCTGAAGTACTCCCCCGTTGATAGAAATCAACACGTAATGAATTAAGACCCCACGGTTTGATGATTGATAGGTGTGTGGGTTGTCTTTCATTTTGACACGCAGAAAAATGTTATAATAAACATAGATACTGTATGTTAAATGGATATATCCGCCTTCTTTCATTTATCTTTCCATTCCCACAACAATATACATAAATAAATGGCATATTTTGGACATAGTTCGAATGGTGATTAATCATGATTAATTCATTTTTAAGCTGTGATTAATCTGATTAAAAATTGTAATCGTTTGACAGCCCTAATAAAAACAAAACAAAATGTACCTTCTTATATCTTTCTCCACTTAAATGAACTTTCTTTCCTCTTGTTCGTTCTCTCTATGTCTGGTCATACATCAATCTGTTCCACGTAGCGCGCCGCCTAGAGGCCTGAAGCACTTCCGGAATGTTTTTTTTTTGTAATGTCTTTTATTTTTGTAATGTGTTTTTCAGTTGTATGTGCTTTTGACTTTGCATATCGTTTTTATATTTGTAGCGTTTTTCTGTTGCGTTTGTTTTCGGGGTTTGTGTGTTGTAGGTTTAGCTTGCATCATTTCTGTAAATGCAGCGTTTTTCTGTTGTATGTGTTTTCAGGGTTTGTTGGTTTTTCATTTCATTATTTGCAGGTGTTTCCTGCTTATGTGTGTGTTTTTGGCCGTTGTTTAGCGTTTGCACCTGCCGGCCACCGTACGAATGACATGGAGTGATGCACACCGAAACCTACTGATTTAACACTACAACTAATTGAACCACACTACAACTAATTGAACCAAGAGATTATTATTGCTGAATATGAAATGAAGGTACAGTTTATTTGAATACGTTATTGTTTACAGACGTGGGTAGTGTTATGATGTGTTCTTTATTCTCGCGTCCAGGAGAGAGGCTTTAAAAAGGAGACTAAATGGAGTCTCTGAGAAGGTTCAAATTGTACTTTAATTAAAAAATAGGTGCGGTAATGTCACAAGTAGAATATTGTTCAGTCAGAAAAACAGCTGTGTTCTGGCTCTTGTGAACGAAGGAAAGAGCAAGCTCCACCTCTCCAGCTGTTATATCTTGTAGTGGAAATGTTATGATATCCTGATATGGGGGGATGTTAGAGGCTATACATCAGGAGTGGTTCACAAGGGGGGTGAAGGGGGGTAATTTGCATTAAGCAAAATTCATTTGAGCACCTAATGCTGGATTTCATTGAGCTTAGCCCATCAGAGAACATCTTAAATTAGAACAACGGTTCACATTTTGCTAAAGAGAGAACGGCACAATCAAAAACAAACTAGCAAAATGCTGTGCAGACACAGGTCTGTCATGGACACAAGCTCTGCCCATTGTGCTGATGTACATGCGGATGTGGGAACGAACACGGATCCAACTCAGCCATTTGAAATCCTTTTTGGGGCTCCTCCACAGATTGGACTCAAGGCTCCAGGATGTCCTCTTCCCTCCACAACTTTGTGTGAGGATGCTATGTTGCTATGTTGTATGTTAACCTGTCATCCACTTTAGCGACTGCCACTGGTCCACTTAACCATCTCCAACCCGGCGACTTCGTGCTGGTCAAGGATTTCCGGAGAAAGAGCTGGAAATCCAATCATGGGCAAGGTACCTACCTGCTTCTGGTCAACCAGACAGCGGTCAAGGTCGCCGAGAGAGAGCTACGTGGGTCCACGCCAGCCACTGCAAGGTCGTAGTCACAGGAAAGGAGAAACGGTAGAAGCAGAAGACAACAAGTGACGTGTCCTAGTCACCAACAAAAGTAGATGACAACAAGTGATGTGTCCTAATCACCAACAGAAGTAGATGACAACAAGTGATGTGTCCTAATCACCAACTTGCACCACACTTGCACTACATACACCAAAACACACTACACACAAGGTATCACGAGCGAGTGCCAGCTGAGCGGTTTCATATGCCCTCTGGTTCCTCGTTTGTGTTACCGGTGTGCGGAGTCTGACTGTCCGTGTCACAACATCGACCGAGGGAAAACACACACACACCCCATGGAGCATTCCCACCTCGTGATAACGGCTCGCCTGGGAAAACGACAACGCAACCGTGAGCAATACTACCAGAGAGCCTGGACAATCATAAAATGGTTCCTCTGCATATTTGCCATGATAGTTGTGTTAGGACTAGTCCTATATTTTATGTATCCATGGTCAGCACACAGCATGTCAGCCAAAATCGAGGTATCTAAGAGGTACATGGGGAAAGCAGGGCGAACCACATGGGCAGAGGGGCTGGTCAAGACAGGGATTGGTAACATTACTCTAAGGGATGGGGAAGATAGCACAGTGCAGTTACAGTGTTTACAATATCTCGTATTGCATATTCAGTGTCCCTGGAATAATCCTTTCTAACGTAGCATTCCCTGATGTTAACCATATTTCCCTCCAACTGGCCTGGCCCAGTGATGCTGGGTTTAGCTCGCCACAAGATTACGTTTGGTTGTGCGGCGACAAGCTCTATCAAGTTCTGGCTCCCCTCTGGATAGGTACATGCACTCTAGTGGATTTGAATCCAGCAGTCACGGTCCTCACGTCCTTAATGTACACGACACATCATTACCCAGAGTTCCAACACCCCGACCACCACAAGGTAAAAAGCCCATAACATAGATACCTTACACGTTCGGCTAGAGAACCTCACTTACGAGACAAGGTAAAAAGCCCATTCATAATAGCCTCTAGAATATGCTCATGCAGCACCAATTTGCTC